GCTTATCTTAGAACCTATTAAACTGGTATTTTACTAGGGGGAGGCTTATCTTAGAACCTATTAAACTGGTATTTTACTAGGGGGAGGCTTATCTTAGAACCTATTAAACTGGTATTTTACTAGGGGGCTTATTTTATTCGCCCAGAGAAAATTTCCCTCTAAATACGGAAGTAGATTTGATGTAATCAAGAAAACTATTTTATTAAAGTTTTAACTTCGATCCTTTCTCGCGCAGTAATGTATAAAGGTAATGTGATAAAAAATAAATGATTGGAATACGTACAGATAATTTAACCACTTCCCCCTACGTACAGATAATTTAACCACTTCCCCCTACGTACAGATAATTTAACCTACTTCCCCTACACCCGTTTCTTTCAATTCGTAATCTTTGAAACGAAATTGTTTTCAATGATGTCTGTTCGTATTACCAGACAGAAACAAGGTCGACTTTCTTAAAACAGAGATAAAAGACCATCGAACCAGTTGAGTTTATCTCCGTTGTTGAAAGTTAAAATAAACTGGGGGGGGGGGGGGGCAAAAAATTAGCATGTCGGACTATGTATTCGAGGGTTTAAGGTTCGCGTCTCGTCACTGCAAAAGAATCCCCCACACACACTTTGTAGCTGTAAGTCATTAAAACAGTGACGTCAAATCACACTGTTCGATTATAGTGGCTCAAGAGTTGGCGATGGGTATTGTTGATTAGCTGCCTTCCTTCTAATGTATAAGGATGGCTAGCGCAACATTTCAGGAACATACAAAACAAATAAACCAATAATACCGAAATTCACACGGCTGTAATGCTAATTATAATTATACAAATAAAAACGCCACCTATGAACGCATACAGTGGTGATGACTATTACATAAGATAAGGCTTTATTTTTATCAATCGTACTACAGGAGCGGTTGTTAAAGTTGAAAAGTAACGCCTTTACTAAAATAATATTTTACGTATTACGTTCACATACACCTGGAAAAAACAATAATTAAAAAGTTACTTAATGTAAATTACTCCACGTGTGTAAATTTTAAAGATCTTTTTAAAATTCACATTTTACACAGACCGTTACCACAAGCTGTACGATACAAGTCTTACCCGCTAGTCGCTGCGTTCGTAGATTTTATTGAGTCGACTCTAAGCCTATTGGCGATGTCCCTCAATGCTTCCGAAGTGTTTTTCTCCATAGCCTCATCGACTTTGTAGCCTCGCTTAATCTTCCGAGGAAGACACAGACAAAACCTGGGCATCTTTACAGTATAACTTTACGACTACACAAATTTTAGGGGGAGTTTAGACGAATAACAGTTTCAATTGAAACAAATTTTGTTTACCATATTTAACACGGTGCGTTGTGCTGTCTTACCCTGATTCACCTAACTACTGTGGACCTACAATAACCGATTTCACTCTCGTAACTGGACCGAAAACAATTTACTAATGCAAGGCGAAACAAATACACCTATCTAACCCATTTGATTTTTTTAACTTTCAAGTGAACGATAAATCCGCCCTGACCTATTTGTTTCAATTATTAGTCCTCCAAGAACTTGTATCACGACGTGAAAAAAATAAAACGGAACGCACAGAAGAAAAACAAAAGAAAATACATAACCAGTTAGTTCTGAAAGGTCATTTATATTTGTTATAAACAGCTAGTTAACGCACGTGCATTGGAGAAGTAGAAAATGTAACCGAGTGAAATCACAACCAATTCGTGCAGCTTCGAAGAACCACTTTCATCATCTCTGGTCAAACAACAAACGATATGCTCAGAAAATTATTAAAACAATGTCCATTTTCTTGTGAACACACTGTGCCCGACATCATTCAAACACCCAGAAAAGAGCGAAAACATGGACACAGGAGAGAAGTGCTTACCATGATCCACTACTACTATGTCACAAGTCCACCCCACCCTCCTTACCCCGAGATTCTGGTTGTTCAGTCGCTGTATCTCCGATATTAAATGAAACTTTTTGGTCAGAGACCTGTATCTGAAAAACACAAGACTTTTTTTTTTGTAACCTGCAATGATCCTACCCAAACAATCGAATGTAATAAAATATATAAAACCCATTAGTAAATATTGCGTTTCATTGCATAGTGTCTGTCCCCTTAATTTCTTTGGATTGTTTAATGAAGTTAAAAATCATGCTAATATTTTAGTAAATGTGTGTATATTCGCTAATACTTGCGAAAATACGTCAGTAGAAAAGATTGTGTGTGTGGTGGGGGGGGGGGGTCTAAAACTGTAATTAATGTATTGCATCTTTTGTTTTATGGTAAATTCATGCTGTACATATTTACACCACACAGATATTCATTAAAAAACATATCCACAAACCAAAAACATTTTACCAGCGGTTGCGCTTCAGAAAACAGTGTAATATAACGTTCCACCACACTTCTTAGGCCTAAAAGCATTGTAATATAACGTTCTTAGGCCTAAAACCAGTAATATAGCGTTCGGTCACATTTCTCGGGCCTAAAAAACGCGTTTAAAACTTCCCCAGCAAAGCTTACGATAATATTAGTCACAATCTACCTCATAATAGCTCTTATCATAGCCCATCATCAACGTACAGACCCTCAATGCGTATTTTATTTGTTTCTGGGGCTCTCGGTGGAAAATTAAAGAAAAAAAATAGGTATCCAACACTTAATTTCACAGGCTGATCCCACGTATTTCTGTTTTTTTACTTTGTTTCAATACGTGTATCACATCTAGGATGGCTACGGTTGACATCCTTTGATGATGTGACCTGTACCGCGTTTACCGAAGCAGTGACTAACTATAGGACGTGTTTGAATATCCTAAACCTGATGCACTGAACGCGAAGAACACCATGACGTCATACAAGATAATGACTGCTGCCTACGTGCGGCTGTGGTGTACACGGTTTTCAAAGCATGTATGTTACAGCCTGGTCCACTTTCTCTGGCCACTTGCTATGTACTAATTGACCATAAATCAGAAAGTTGACAAATACGAGTACATCGGAACCTATTCTAAGGTTGTGCAAGAGACACGGCGATAAACGCCCCCCTCGTTCCTTCCACCCTCGCTATAATTTCTTGAAATATTTAGATACATCACGCTGTTTGTCTGCATTCAAGTTATAAAACTGACACTAACTCTACACGTCGGTAAAACTTAACACTGTTTACACTTTCGTGAAGTTGACCAAGTTAACGTCTAACTTAAAATGTTCTCCGAGAATCTTGAAAACAGGGCAAGTAAAACAAACAAACGAAAAATAACTTTCATTCAACCACACATAAAGGTAGATTAGATTTTTAAAACTTAAAAACGGTCAGAACAATTAACACTGAGCAAAAAGCCAGATCGTAGCTCCGTCTTAAAACAAAATCTGACAAGTTCAATTTTTACAGATTTTAGTTGTCAAGATTGTGATAGAATAATATTTTATAATTTGAGTCTACTAAAAGCAAGTACAAGTTTAATAGAAAATTAAGGGACTTAGTGGTTAAAAAGGCAATAAATCCCCCACTCACATACATGACATGAAGAATAAAGAAAATATCAATTTTAAATGTTTTATTTCCATGAAAATGTAAAGTATACCTGTGCTAAACCAGTGATTAAATCAAACTTTGATAATATGTTCTTGGGTTACTTTCAACTCAGAATATACACGTTTCCACAAGTGACTGTTGGGACACGTGGAACCAATCGACAACAACGGCTGTTGGGACACGTGGAACCAATCGACAACAACGGCTGTTGGAACACGTGTCCCATACCCAAATTTAGAAATTGTGCGCACAAAAACAAAAATCCAGAAAGCATTTCTTATTTATTCTGGGTTATCTATATCGTTTGTATTTTAAATAGAAAAGTCGTAGTGAAAGGGTTCATATATTAATAACATAGCTTACAATAACTTATCCACTTGTACATAAATGTAATAGTGTTCGATACAAAGTAACAATACAAGAGAAACAATACGGCGAATAACCAGTTCAGGAACTTATCCAACAATTGTCTACATTTCCTTTGTAGTTTTCCATTATACATTAACATGAGCCATATATTGTTCAATAAAATTAGCAAGAGTAAAGAAATTAAAAATACAGAAGCGACAAAAAAATATAAGTAGACGAAGAAAATAATGTAACTGTCAAATGATGTTGGTTACTATGGTTACTATATAATATTACTCAGTGCCACTTAGTGACGTGATAACAAGGATTTCAGTATATGAAACAATACAGATATATTTTTACATTAAAAAACTCGGAATATTACGGTGGTAAACCTAACAGACTTAGACCTAATATTTGTGGTATTTTTGTTGTTGTTTCACATTTCTCTTAATTAATCCATTTCGGATTCAAATCAGAGTCGTGTAACACTAGCATTTCAGATCTCCGTTTATTTTGTGTTTTTTTTTAATCAACATAGATTTTAAATCGTCTTGATTTATAATGCTTCGTCAGTTTTCAGCGTTTAAATCGTAAACTCAAAAAAAAAAAATTGCAACTTTAGTCTACAGTCTCAAAGATCTTGAATCTAATTTATTTCGACTTTATTCAAAATAGAAAAGTTACACCATGAACAGCAACATTAACTAAATACGTAACGAGATATAAAGGTATTTCCCGCCTATTTGAAGTTTGTTTTTCTATATGTTAAACAAGTACGTAATGGCTACATTTACCCAATTTACTCACTTATCTCAAAAACATGTATACAAGGATCTACCGTTTAGCCTCGGAAAAATTCGTTTATTCCACGAACCCGTTCAAGATTCGTGTAACTTAGATTGCTAACATGTACTCCGCTTTTTCTTCACCAACAAGAACGCTGTATTGTATAAGGTAAACCAGCTAACATTAGCTTCTTGGGGAAAGCGAGGTCCACAATAAAGCTGTGTCGTAAAGGGAACTTGTTATTACGTCATGATTGTTATGGTCTCTGTAAGAATCACGAAGCTTCCTAGCATAACATAAAATGAATCAATGGATTATTGATTTAATTAGTTATTCACTCCAGTGTCAGTTAGCGAGTTGGACAGTGAGAGTTTATTATCGATCGCTTCACCAAGGATATCCTCCATGTAAGTGTATAACTATAAAGTTAGGCGTACATTAGTTTCACAATTTCTATCGAAACATTGTTTGTAACAAAAATTATTCAAGAAATAAACAAATTTGTTATCGTTACCTCCACTGGACATCGTATTATTTTTAATAAATACTCCAGAACAACCCTCCCAAAGATCGGACAAGTTACGACAATATTATATTTCACATTATTGCTACTTTTATCAAGTTATCATTGCACGTGCGGAGTTTGTTAAAACGAAACAAGATTGACTGAAATTATATTCTTAAACTTTCTAGGCGAGGAATAGACGAGGTATTTGTTTAAAGCCTCAACACTGACAAGTTTTATAGAACAATATAATTCCTTTCTTCTGATTAATGACATTATATTAATCCAGATAAAAGTTGATTCGTTGTACAGATTTGTCTGTGATTTGGAATAGACTCATCAGTATGTCAACACCACCTGCCTCTCTTATTAGAGAGGACAGTTGATCTGCCTTCTAAAAGCTCACCATGGTTATTTGTCTCAGTTACCACCCTACAAAGTCTTTAATGATGAGAATGTCTTCGTATTGCTCCCTTAGCTTTAGAGTAGCATCATAAGTAATGCAAGTATTTTGGAAATATGTAGAAATACGGGGCCACCTCAAACAAGCACAGAAAGTATGAACCGCTAACACTGATGTATTTTAAGTAGTGTGAAGGAATTCTAAAAATTCCACTGAAAACAGACAACTCATGCTGAACCTACTTTAACTTTCCTACACACATACTTCTAAATACATAAAAGTTTCTAAACTAATTTATCAACAACTTTTCGACAAATTAAACTAACTACAGGTCAGAACTAAGTAACTAATACATCAATTTAGCTAATAATATTTAACAGACTTACTAAAAATGTATATAATTTCATAAATAAACACACAACTAAAATATTATTATTATGCCATAATGATTAGAATGTACAAGGTATGATGATTCAGCAGTTTGAAACCTCTCTTTAACCATATTTTCAGCCTAACCACCGAACAACGTAGCGGCGGTTAGTAAATGTAGCTTCAAATTCTTATTTTTATAGAAATATTTTTCTTCATAATGTCATTATAATTATATTAATAATATCTTTCACCAAATTTGACAATTAAAAATTTGGAAGTTAGATATGTAATTTAACACACTAAAAGTT